CTGCAAAATCAAACACAAAGGACGTTGGTTGGTAAAGAGGGAACGAAATGTAAACATAAATAAAATGCGAACGACTTTCCATAATTTTCTGGTTGATAACACGAAAAATGACTATCAAGCCGGACGTGTTCCTAAACTTTTCCGCATTAATCAGTTCTGCATCGGAGAAAACGCAACGCAAAAGAGGTCATTACGAGCACTACCAGAAATGAATGACATAACACAAACACAAAACCAAGTAGTACTAACGGCTGCGTACCTGATAATAGACATAGTGACTGGTGGAAACAGTGGATTAGGCAGGAGTCGCGTAGTCGAGGGCGGCTGAAACCGAGGAAAACGTAGAAGAGGCAGTAAGGGAGGTACTACTAAGTCGATGCCAAGTGAACGGGGAAGAGAGGAGTGAGGTACGGGACGCGAGGTGAGGGTGAAGGGATGATGGGCTGGAGTGGCTGTTGATTCTGCTGGGTGGGTAGGGGGAAGAAGGTCCCACAGCGCTGGAGGTCGCGGGTGCGCTGGAGGCTTTTCCAGCGCTGGAGGGCGCGCAGGTGGCGCTTGCAGCACTTGCGCTGATGGCAGTCGCAGCAGCTGCGTGTCAGTAGATCTGCACTGTGGATGCCCGATTGATCCTGGAGAGGGTTACAGGCGTGTTCGCCTGGGGGGTTATGGGCGCACTGACCCGCTACTGAAACAAGCCCTTTTATCCCAGTGGTCTAGTGGCTGGGATTCTGACATGGTATCAGAGCGGTCTCGGGTTCGATTCCCGGTGTATGCACATGTAGGCCGTTGCCGCTGTGCTTAGTCCTGGGCCTCCCAGTGTGGGGGGGTGTCAGTAGATCTGCACTGTGGATGCCCGATTGATCCTGGAGAGGGTTACAGGCGTGTTCGCCTGGGGGGTTATGGGCGCACTGACCCGCTACTGAAACAAGCGCTTTTATCCCAGTGGTCTAGTGGCTGGGATTCTGACACTGCGCAGTTGGCAGTTGCAGCAGCTGCGCAGTTGGCAGTTGTACAAATGCGCAGATGCAGTGCACCAGCGCAGCTGCGAATTTGCAGCAACTTGCGCAGCTGCTGTATAGCAATTGCGCAGCTGCACGTAGACTGTAATCAAGCGCAAGTGCGCTTGATGTACAGTTCAGCACCACGATGCCCAGTAAGCGACGACGAGAAAGGACCAACTACAACGATACAACTCGCCAACAAGGTGTGTGATGTAGATATCCACCAATTGTCGAACACATCTACGATGACGTGTTCGCTAGAATATGCTCGAATGACCAATGCGGTGGCCTGTCTTACCTCACCATCCCAAATAGTTTACAGTAAATGCGAAACTATATAACACTCGGTACTATACCGTGCGTAATAAAGATCCAACCTATTGTTCCCACAAAGTATCACAAACTGTGACAAATATATGCCGTTTTAGCCTTGTGAAACTTATTTCAGCCATAACTTCTGCAAATTTTCAAATACATAGTTGCTGTTGTATTTTAAGCATTCCAGACTGAAATAGTGTCATGCTCTTTTATAGTATGGATACATGGAGAATTTAGACAATAGCATTGATTGTGTAACGTAAATGTCTCTATACTTGTCTTTCCTCTTGAAAAATAATTTGCTGAGATAATCGTTGCAATAGATTGCCACATAATATTGATTGGCGAATAACAAATTTCCGTCAACAAGAGTATGATGTACTTGTCCCACATGTCGTTTTTCGCCAAACCGTCGTGTATGTCATTCCAAGTAGAGAGAGAGAGAGAGGGAGAGAGGGAGATATATATATATATATATAGAGAGAGAGAGAGAGAGAGAGAGAGAGAGAGAGAGAGAGAGAGAGAGAGAGGGGGGGGGGGGGGGAGAGAGAGAGAGCGAGCGTTAGAGAGAGAGAGAGAGAGAGAGAGAGAGAGAGAGAGAGAGAGAGAGAGAGAGAGAGAGAGAGAGAGAGAGTGTGTGTGAGAAAGAGAGAGAGAGAGTTGTACTGGTACTAATCTCTATGATCCAAATTCCCGTCAAGTATCACAAATACTGACGAAAATATACTGTTATATACTTGTGCGCATTAGTATGCTCTTAACATTTGAAATAAACATACGTCGAAACAGCACCTCGTGTCGCAGAGACATGTGTTAAGAATACTAGGCAAGAATCAAGAAACATGAAAGAGGATTTTCACTAGCAGCAGTTGAGATTAATATAGCAAACCCTAATTCGGGCTGTACTCGCTATAGAGTACCCCACTGTATGCGACACAAACTGCGGAAAATCACTCTACAATGGTAGTGAGCTAGACTATGGGGTTGGCACAAACTACTAGAGGTGATTGTAGCTTTGCTTGGTTCCTTAGTGCTTGCACATTCACAAGAGAAATCGGCAAGAGTTTCGACTAGCAAAGTTGGAATTCCATAATGATGGAACAAGCAATGACAACAATGACTACATCATGCACCTAGCAACACTGCTGCTAGCCTGGTCGACCGCCAGCACAGCTCGGTCGACTGCCTGCCAGCGTTGCGTAGAGGAGCCGCGCCAGCACTGCAGAAAGGTGACCTGCCAACGGAGCAGGTCGACGGCGTGCCAACGCTGCAGCAGAGCGGCTGTCCAGCGTTGCCCCGTAGAACACAGCAGTATGCACGCTCGCAGGTGTGCGCAGACGATTGGCACGACTTGCCTCGTTGGGCATCCCCCGGTCGAGCTGCAGGTCGACAGACTGCTCCCGGTCGAGCTGCAGATCGACGGACTACTCCCGGTCGAGCTGCAGGTCGACGGGGACCCCCTGGTCGAGCTGCAGGTCGACGGAGACCTCCCGGTCGAACTGCCCCTCCGAGTCGACGTCCCATCCGTCGCCCAGACCAGACAGTTGCAGCTGTCGAGCTCCCTGGTCGACAGCATCACCACAGCGGTTCCCTGCAGCTCGACGATGCCTGTCGATGAGATCTCCCACTGTGAACGGTCGGTTGCTACTCCCGTACATCCGGCCAAGTCGTCGGCGTTGCCCAAGCGAGGGCGGGGCCAACACTCCATTCCTCTTAACACAAACATCACATCCTGACAACATATCCTTGCACAGTTTTCCCTGCTAGATTGTTTGAAGCACCATATCTTCCTACCACGTAATGCGGATGACACCAAATCTGTCCAGCATGCTTTTAAATATAGTTAACGCATGCATGATCATGTGAAACCTTGTTTAAAGTGACAAACGAATGTCGATACGACACCACGTTGCGCACAAGCCTATTCTTGCACAGTTTTCCCTGCTCAATAGTTTGGATCGCCGTATGTTCCTACCACGTGCTGCGGTTGATACCAAATATGTCCAGCATGCTTGCAAAGACACTAAATGCATGAATGATCAAGAGAAACCTTGTTTAAATCGACAAACGAACGTCGATACGGCACTACGTTGCGCACAGGCCTATCCTTGCACAGTTTTCCCTCCTCGGTTGTTTGGAACACCATATCTTCCTACCACGTGCTACGAATGATACCAAATATGTCCAACATGCTTGCAAATATAGTAAATACATGAATGATCAAGAGAAACCTTGTTTAAATCCACAAACGAATGTCGATACGGCACTATGTTGCGCACAGGCCTATCCTTGCACATTTTTCCCTGCTCAATTGTTTGGAACGCCGTATCTTCCTACGACGTGCTGCGGATGATACCAAATATGTCCAGCATGCTTGCAAATATAGTAGATGCATGAATGGTCAAGAGAAACCTTGTTTAAATCGACAACGAGCGTCGATACGGCACTACGTTGCGCACAGGCCTATCCTTGCACAATTTTCCCTGCTCAGTTGTTTGGAACACCATATCTTCCCACCATGTGCTGCGAACGACACCAAATCTGTGCAGCATGCTTGCAAATATAGTAAGTGCATGAATGATCAAGAGAAGCCTTGTTTAGATCGACAAACAAACGTCGATACGGCACTACGTTGCGCACAGGCCTATCATTGCACATTTTTCCCTGCTCAGTTGTCTGGAACACCATATCTTCCCACCATGTGCTGCGAACGACACCAAATATGTGCAGCATGCTTGCAAATATAGTAAGTCCATGAATGGTCAAGAGAAGCCTTGTTTAAATCGACAAATAAACGTTGATACGGCACTACGTTGCGCACAGGCCTATCATTGCACAGTTTTCCCTGCTCAATTGTTTGGAACGCCGTATCTCCCTACCACGTGCTGCGGATGATACCAAATATGTCAAGCATGATTGCAAATATAATAAATACATGAATGATCATGAGAAACCTTGTTCTAATCGACAAATGGACGTCGATACGGCACCACATTGCGCAAAGGCATATGCTCGCACAAAGGAAATAATATAGAGCAACAACATGACGGTGAGACGATGCCACATAAAGCCATAATTCCACAATTTGTTTTTGTACGGCTCGAAAAATCATGATTTTGTGTAGCGTAATTTAATATTGTTGTCGACAATGATCTGATATGATTTAACATTTGGTAATATGCCTGAATGATACATCAAAATGATATTCCTACATGTCTATCTAATTGTCAGACATGAGATCTTATTGATAAGAAACAATATTCAAATATACAACTATAAGTTACCAATGAACTGAACGTCTCGAGTGTATGCATCTCAAATATAGCACTTTTGCAACTATTCCTTGCCTCGCCGCCCACAACTGTATTCCCGTCGGAAATCAGGAGTCCCGACTGATTCTTGACGCGACTCGGGTGCAACTGAACTTTCCGGTAAAGCACACCCTCGCTCACAAATTTCCGTACGAAATCTAGCGGATTTCTGCTAGAAATCGGCTGGAAATCCGACGAACCCAAAATTTATCTAATGCCAGCTTGAGTGACCCTCGGAACCTCCAAGGGCTGAACCGGGTTTTTTGTGATGTAGTAGATCCCTGAATACTCTACCAGATCAAACCCTGAACCTTTCTACCTTCAGGGCACCATGGCTCGCTCCCTTCACACCCTCGCGGTGGCTATCTTAATGGTGTCGTTCGCGGCCAATGCTCTCGCGGGCTTCATGGGCGGAGCATCGACCTTTGCAGGGGTAAGCCTTCTTAAAACCGGCCCTTTCCCCCTCACATTGCACATCGTCTCGCTCAGCCAGCGTCAATTCCATCTCGTGAATGCATACCGGCGAATGCGGCACCGGCCTACATCATTTTCCACTGACCCAATTCTTGTTTGCGTTTCCCTATTTATCCGTACAGGCCGGCAAGGCATTGGTGGATGTGTATAACAAAGGCAAGAAACCCGTCCAGCAAGTCGTACCATACGACTCGGTGGGATCCGGCACCGGAATCACCGGCTTAAACGGCGGCACGTACCAGATCGCCATCTCCGACGACCCTATGACCTCCACGCAGGAAGGGAGCGCTCCCCCCAAGATCACCGTTCCGCTCTGCGTCTCCACCTTCAGTTTCTTCGTAAACGGCGCGCCCGGCGTCGTCCTGACGGTGGGCCAGACGTATTCTATCTACAAGGGAGACATCACCGCGTGGTCCTTCGTCGCCGGCGCAAAGGGCAAGGTCGCGGGCGCCATCACCCGCGTGGCGCGCAGCGACAAGTCTGGATCTACGGCGATTGTGAAGACTCTGTGGAGCAAGGCTCTGGGCGCCACGTACACCGAGAACACGGACGGCACTGCGATGGGTTACACTGGCCTCACTAAGGTGGACGGTACGACGGGCATGTGCAGTGCGATTGCCAAGACCAAGGGCGCCATTGGTTACGCGTTCACCGGTTCCTGCGCCCCGCGTTACCTTACGTTTCTGAAGAACGCCAACGGTGCGGCCGTCAAGGCCCCTGCTTGGAACCCCTCCCTTGCCATCCCCGCCACTCCTCCTGCCGCGCCTGACGCGTCGTGGGCGAGCGTTGATTTCGTGTGGAAGGCCGGAGCCAAGACCCCTCCGATGGTGTCTATGGAGTTTGCGTTTATCAGGAAGACTCCCTCCACCCCGGTCGCAAAGGCCTTCATGCTGTATATGATTGGCGCTATGAAGACAAACAAGTATGGTTTCAACCCGATGCCTCTTTCTTGGATCAACCCGTCCAAGGCCATGGTGGTCGCGATTAAGTAAATTCCTGGTAGTGTGAGGAGATGATGGCTCTGGGCCATGGCTAGCTGCACCGGCACGTGCATAGTTCGGCATGCGTTGTCGGCGATTTTGTTCTCTTTTAGGCTTCATGCGATTTGGTGTAGTTCCTTTATCTCATAGTAGGTAGAATATCGGTGAGATGTGATGTATGCATGCATACTTATCTGAGCCACGGAGTTTGCGAGCCACGGAGTTTGCCAGCCAATGCAAGAATCACATGGCATAATGAAAGCTCTGGCGGCTGTCAGTCTGACTCCTGCTGCTTTGCTCAACCCGTCCAGGGCTATGGTGATCCATACCCACTCTGCTAATGGCTAGTTGAACAAAAATACATGCATAATTTCGCATGCATTGTCAGCAGTTTCGTCGTCTTGGTTTATATGGTAATTTTGATTGTGCTGACTCTGTCAGCTACCGTAATTTTGATTTATATAGCAAGCTGCACCAGCACGTGCATACTCCATTTACATATGCAACTACTTTGCCCTCTAACCTCGTTTTCCTTATTCGTGGTGGGCCAAATACGAGATGGATCCATCTGGTTGATTACGGTAGCTGGGTTAGTTGGGTGCAGCTGGGTTTTGTTGGGTACAGATGGGTTATCGAGGGGCTGCCACGGTGTGGGAAGGTGGAGTGTAGGGTTGGAGAGGGCGAGCAGGGAGGAAGCGAGTGTCACCACTTGCACTGAGGGGTTCATCGTGGCATGCCTCATGGCTGCTGCTGCTGCCCACACCTTCTGCGCGTGCCTGCTGGGGCAGGACGGACGGCATTAGAGAGATATGTGCATAGATAAGACACAGTGACTGCAGCACACACACTTAGCGTCACCACTTGCACTGAGAGGGGTTCAGCGTGGCATGCCTCATGGCCGATGGTGCTGCCCATACCTTCTGCTCGTGCCTGGTGGGGTGGGACAGCATTGGACATACGCACGGGGAGAAGCCTCAAGATAAAATGCAGAGACCCAAGCAGGATCGGATCTTTTACAGGTGTCGCATGGCTGTTGTTTCTGCCACCGCCGCCGCTGCTGCTCCTGCTGCTGCAGCTGCGAATCCGGGATGGCACCAGACACAGGCGCATGGCAGCAAGGAACAGAAGAGAAGACAGAAACTAGGGTTACTTTCTCTTAACAGTACCGCAATCCTCGTTCTATACCACATCCCCTTTTCTCAAGCTTCCCCTCTTTGCTCACCACTTGTGGCAGAGCAGCAAAGCGATGGAGCGGGGTCCACAGAGGTCACAGGAGAGCAGCAGCACCTGCACAGGCCCGCCCACCCACCAGCACACCTGTTCCAGTACTGCCCTCCTCCAGTAATGTCGGCTCCTCCCCGACCCATCCTCCCCGCTCACCGCTTGTGGCAGCGCAGCACAGCCACGGAGTGGGGTCGCAAGGGAGCACAGAGTCCCGTAGCAATCGCTCTAACACGTCCCTCTCAGGCCTCCCCTTTAGGCTCACCGCTTGTGGCAGCGCAGCACAGCTACAGAGTGGGGTCGCAAGGGAGCAGAGAGTCCCGTAGCAATCGCTCTAACACGTCCCTCTCAGGCCTCCCCTTTAGGCTCACCGCTTGTGGCAGCGCAGCACAGCCACGGAGTGGAGTCGCAAGGGAGCAGAGAGTCCCGTAGCAATCGCTCTAACACGTCCCTCTCAGGCCTCCCCTTTAGGCTCACCGCTTGTGGCAGCGCAGCACAGCCACGGAGTGGGGTCGCAAGGGAGCAGAGAGTCCCGTAGCAATCGCTCTAACACGTCCCTCTCAGGCCTCCCCTTTAGGCTCACCGCTTGTGGCAGCGCAGCACAGCCACGGAGTGGGGTCGCAAGGGAGCAGAGAGTCCCGTAGCAATCGCTCTAACACGTCCCTCTCAGGCCTCCCCTTTAGGCTCACCACTTGTGGCAGCGCAGCACAGCCACGAAGTGGGGCCCACAGGGGTCGCAGGAGAGCAGCAGCAGAGACGCCTGGATGCTCCCTGTCCCCACCGACCCAAACAGAGCCACCAGTGAGTTTCCTAGCAGCCGCACCTCCCTCTGCTCGCCCCTCTGCTCGCCTTTCTGCTGACCTTTTTGCTCCCCTTTACCCTGCTGCTGCTGCAGCTGGCGGTTCACATTCACAGATCTGCGACACAGACGGAGAGGCAAACACGAAAGGAAGCCACGGGATGACTGACAGATGAGGGGAGCAAGCGGACTAGGTGGAACGGATGCACAACTGCAGATAAAGGAAAGTTTCAGGAAGGCACAGAAGGCACTGAAGGCACAGAAGGCACAGAAGGCGAGATGAAGGTAGCTGTGCCCTCTCGCTCACATGGTAATGCACATGTAGCTGTGCCCTCTCGCTCACATGGTAATGCGCATGTAGCTGTGCCCTCTCGCTCACATGGTAATGCGCATGTAGCTGTGCCCTCTCGCTCACATGGTGATGCGCATGTAGCTCTGCCCTCTCGCTCACATGGTAATGCGCATGTAGCTATGCCTCTCAGGATCGTAAACTCCTTAGTCGGCTATAGTCTACTTGCTATCGCCTATCGTGTTCTCCACGATCTCCCGAATCCAATGATATGCGCAGCTCTGCTTGAAGTTGTCAATACACACTTCAGCAACTTTCAGAATCTGATTGGTATCATTTCCAGAATGAGTACAAGCAGTTTTATAGTCAGGCAAGACACAAAATGCGATTCGTAATTTCACTTGTTTCCCAAGTAACCGCGTGCGCCTCGTTTCACCCCGAGTCGCACACGCAACCGAACCGAATTCGGTGAACACTCCGCAAGTCCGAATCCCAAACTTTCTCGAACGCGCCTTGGTCTCGAAGCACATTTTTCCCCTCGTCAACCTCATTCTCGATGCTTCTCCTTCTCTCTCCCTCCTTCTAGCACATTTCTTCTCGATTTCTCTCCCGCTTCTCACGCCGTAGCCTCTATTCCCCACCGTAGGCCGATTTCCACCGTTTCACACACGCGCTTCCATTTCGCCGTCATTCCGCCGTCGTAGATGCTTTCGCCTTAGGTTCCGTGGTTGGGCGAACCAACCCTAACAATCTCCCCTGTGGTTCGTCAACCACGAACACCACTCGCACTGCTCCCCTGCTCCTTGTAGCCTTCACAGGGTCTTAGTAGGCTTCACGCTCCCCTGCAGCTCCTGCACCTTGAACCTCTGCTTACGTGTCTTGAAGTTGAGCGTCTTGACATCCAAACCTTGAGAGATTTTCTTATGCCTCTCGCTTCTCCTCGGCATCTTTACACCCAACACCTCTCGGGTCTCGTACCCTTCAACGCGTTCATCCTCCTTAAGCACTTGCCCCTTTGCAGTTGCATTCGCCTTTGATCCTTTCACCATGATGTCTCCTTTCACAGCTTCAACTCCCACACACTTCGCATTTACTGCTTCATCTTCAACCACGATCGCTGCTGCAAAAGTGTTGACATCGTCTCCATCTCCACCGTTTACTGCTGCTGCATCTGTGATCACTATCTCCTCTTCCTGCTTCACTGCTGCCTCCACACTCGCTCCCGTATCATCCGTGTCCTCGCTCTTATCAACCTTAGTCAATAACTCCTCCAGTTCTCCCATCTCACCATACTCAGGATCCTCATAGATCTCATCCATATCATTCGTCGCCACCAAGTTCATCTCATAGAAACCGTCACTGAAATAACCATCAGCATACTTCTCCCACTCAGGACCAAACACAGTCACCTCACCACTATCATAGAATATCTTGCACCCCAAGTCATCAAGCTGTGACTGACTGACCAAGTTCACCTTCAAATCCGCAACCAGCAACACACTCTCCAGTTTCACTACTCCATACGGACTCCGCAGCACCACGTCACCCTCTCCTGTCACTGGTAACTTTCCCCTGTTACCTTGCAGTATATAATCCTCACTCGACTCCCTCACATTCTCCATCCAATCTGACCTGAATGTCATGTGACGCGTGCATCCGCTGTCCATGAACCATGTCGTCTTCTCACGTCTGTCCGTCTGCCGAACCTCCATTGGTAAACGCACCACGTTCGCAAGATGTGCTCCCCCCAAAATCGGATCCTCTTCTTCCTTCTCCGCTTTTGCCACGTTAGCCTTGGCCTCCACGTTCTGCTGCTGCTCCTGCTTCAACGGTCATTTGTAGTTACGGCCGTTGGGATTCAAGTAGCAATCAATTGCACGATGCCCAATTTTCTTGCAGTGATGGCACGCACTATTGAAACTCCGTGTTGCTGTCCACCACTCCATCCCGCACCGTTCCCTTTGTAGTTTCTACTCCTCCGGTTCTCCACACACTCAAAAGCACGATGCCCGAGTTGTCCACACTGGTAGCACGCTCCCGAGCTCCTTCTAGCAGCTGCCGCATTCACCAATGCAGGCTTCTCCTCCACAAAGCCCATTGTAAACTTCTCCCGTCGCTTCTGATGCTCTCTTGTTCGCTCCAACGCCTGAAGCATGGCAATAAGCTTCATCATATTCTCCGGTGGGTGGCAGATCAACGCCGGCCGCTCACCCGCCCAATCTTCCAGTAGACCGTTGACGATGTGCCCGATCATCGCCCGCTCGGTTTCCGTCTCGCCCATCGCAGTGAAGTCGTCGTTGTAGCTCCTCGCCATGTTGACATAGTCAATAATCTTCTGGTTCGGCTCCATGGTCATTAACAACAGCTTCTTCCTTGCGTCGGCGATGTTTACGTCCATATGCCCGAGGTATGTAGACTCCATGTAAGCCCATGCCGCCTGTGCAGAGTTCTCGCGCTCTGCAAATTCGTCCAAACCCACTGCAATCCCGTCAGCAACGGAATGACATAACTGAAAAAACGCATGCTTACTCCTCTTCTTGTATTCTGCCGTTTCTTCATCCGATCTCGCCTCACGCGCGGCTGCGTCACCTTCTCCATCCGGTCGGTAGTACTCCCAAAAACCGACTTCCTTCGCCCTCCTTATGAACTTCAATCTCCACGTGCTGTAGTGTTGGCCGTGGAATCGTTGGGCTTCACTGAGCCCCATGGTGGGCTTTGTCACCACCCCTCCTTGCGCTAGCATTTCCAGAAGTGCCTTCACTTGGGAATCTCCAATACTCACAGAGGAGCCCGAACTAGCTTCCGATTGTCCGCCGACCATCTCGAAAGCTTCGCTCTGCACTTAAGAATGCTTAAACGCCACTTAAACCAGCTCTGATACCAGTTCTCAGGATCGTAAATGTCAGAACTTATATTTGTAACTGCCTGTAGCTGTAGTTAGTGTAGTTATTATAAACTTTGTTTGGTGGTGCACCTTATTTGTTTCCTTTGCTATATGTTCTTCGAAACCTATAGTGAAACCATCCTTTCCAACTTTCTCGACTCTCACCCTGGGCACAAACTACTCGACATCCTAGTTGGCCCTAGGCTCCTAAGCCTAGGCCCTAGTTAAACTTGATCATTCTCGTTCCAGTTTCGATAGTAAACACCTTAGTCGGCAATAGTCTACTTGCTATCGCCTATCGTGTTCTCCACGATCTCCCGAATCCAATGATATGCGCAGCTCTGCTTGAAGTTGTCAATACACACTTCATCAATTTTCAGAATCTGATTGGTATCATTTCCAGAATGACTACAAGCAGTTTTATAGTCAGGCAAGACACAAAATGTGATTCGTAACTTCACTTGTTTCCCAAGTAACCGCGTGCGCCTCGTTTCACCCCGAGTCGCACACGCAACCGAACCGAATTCGGTGAACACTCCGCAAGTCCGAATCCCGAACTTTCTCGAACGCGCCTTGGTCTCGAAGCACATTTTTCCCCTCGTCAATCTCATTCTCGATGCTTCTCCTTCTCTCTCCCTCCTTCTAGCACATTTCTTCTCGATTTCTCCCCCGCTTCTCACGCCGTAGCCTCTATTCCCCACCGTAGGCCGATTTCCACCGTTTCACACACGCGCTTCCATTTCGCCGTCCTTCTGCCGTCGTAGATGCTTTCGCCTTAGGTTCCGTGGTTGGGCGAACCAACCTTAACAATGTCGTCTCGCTCACATGGTAATGCGCATGTAGCTATGCCGTCTCTGCTCACATGGTAATGCGCATGTAGCTGTGCCCTCTCGCTCACATGGTAATGCGCATGTAGCTGTGCCCTCTCGCTCACATGGTAATGCGCATGTAGCTATGCCGTCTCTGCTCACATGGTAATGCGCATGTAGCTATGCCGTCTCTGCTCGCATGGTAATGCGCATGTAGCTATGCCGTCTCTGCTCGCATGGTAATGCGCAGGTAGCTATGCCGTCTCTGCTCACATGGTAATGCGGAGGTAGCTGTGCGGCGATGCCAGGCTGTACGTCGTCTGCTGGACCGTCCTCGTCTCCATGGCCCCTCATGCACCGTCCCTTGAAGCACCATGTAACGCGGGAGATGGTTTCGCGGGATGTCGCGACGAGCGGTAAAATTCGGTTTGGGGCACACTGGGAATATGTTTACAGCGATGGCGCTGAATGGCAAGCGGTGCTGCTCATAACGGGTATCTGTTTTCTGATTAGCAAACCCTGTAACGAGGCGAAGGATCTCGTGGGGACAAAAGATGCGGTCCGAAATGGAGGGGATAAACGCTTACAAAGCATTTAACGCTTTCCATCTGGGCAACTGTACAGTGACTCGGTGAGCCGTTGTGAACGGTTGTGAACCGTTGATGTTTACGACGTGACTAATGCGAAGTGCGTAGCGTAGCGTAGGGTTACTCGAGAATAACAAAAAGCGAACTCTTGAATAGACCGAAAGAACGGCCACACTCTAGGCTGACGCGTCGCACGGACTGAAGGCATGCGTTGGATCTGCGCTGCGCGAGAGTGAGAGAGTCGACGATGAATCCAAGCGAAGATGCGCCGGAAACTGCGGGCATGGCGACTCGGATATACAGCATTGAGCCCGAGGAAATGACGGACCGCCGTGTTTGCGCGTTTTCGATTCCTTTCAGCAGTGGCTTTGACAGCGACTCCCACCGCGCTCGCGCCCAATTCTGTCAGAAGTACGAAACAGGAATGAATGAACTAGCAGTGAAATGAGTACAAGTACCTAACCCTAGAATTGTGTACCCCCTATAGGCTAACCCACTGTAGCCTAAACTAACACAACATATATAATGTTTGACACACCCCCATAGGCAAAGTGGGGGAGAAATAGGGGTCACAAGACCAGTCAAGGCAATGCAAGGCAAAACAAGCTCAGGGTGGATCTCAAGGATACCACACAAATTCCGAGCACAAGCAAGTGGTCACAAGACCAGTTCACATGCAGGTTTATAATAGAACAAAAGGTACAATGATCACAACCTAACAAGAGTAAACATGCAGGTATATATATAGAGATCACAGTACAAACAGACTCAAGAAGTAAGTAAGTGAGGTCCAGTAGGCACAAGGCCTAGAAGAGTGCAAAAGCGCTGATGGTCACAAGGCTGAAGCGCCTTGGTGAACACATCAGCAGTGTTGGCCTCAGAGGCCACGTAACGCAGGCGAAGCTGACCACGCTGCTGCAGCTCTCGAGCAAGGAAGTAACGCAGAGCAATGTGCTTTGTTCTGTGCTCCAGTCTGTGCTCCTCACACAAGGCAATGGCTGCCTTGTTGTCGACGTACAGCACTGGAGGAGAACGAGGCTGCTCTCCGAGGTCGGTCAGTAAGTAGGTGAGCCAGCGTAGCTCCTGAGCCGCCATGGCTGTGGCGTAGATCTCAGCCTCACAACTAGAGCTGAGAACAGAAGAAGAGCGAGTAGAACGCCAAGAAACAGAACCAGAGCCAAGACTGAAGGAGTAACCCTGAGACGACCGCTGAGTAGCCTGGTCGTCTGCCCAAGAAGCGTCTGAGTGCCCAGTGAGAACAACTGGGACTCGCCCTCCAAGCACTAGCCCCATGCCCGACGTACTGCACAAGTAGCGCAACACCCTCTTAGCTGCATCCATGTGCTCCTTCCGGTGACGGCCGGGAGCGACATAGCGTGCAAGAATGCTAAGAGGGTATGCAAGGTCTGGTCGAGTGCAGGTCATCAGGTACATGAGGCAACCCACAAGCTCTGGATACAGGCCACTCGGCTCTACGGACTCATCCGAAGGCAGAGCTGAGAGCGAGTGACCGGTAGGCAGAGGAGTGGGCTGAGGCGAGGAGTACGTGAAGCGGAAGCGCTGAAGGACCTGCTGCACCATGTGTGACTGAGTCAAGGTGATGGTGCGGCGTGCTCTGTCCCGGGTGATCCGCAAGCCAAGATAGCTTGTCAGTTCACCCAGGTCAGTGCACGTGTGTCTCTTCTGCAGCTCCGACTTCACGTGGGCGAGTGCCACAGTGTCAGCAGTAGCAAAGACCAAGTCGTCAACGTACACAAGGACGTAGAACGGCGGCAGTGAGGTGTCGGTGCGTAGAAACAACGACGGGTCAGCAGTAGAAGGCGCGAACCCAAGAGCCGCAAGCGTAGTCCTCAGTGTGTCGTGCCACTCACGAGGCGCCTGGCGGAGACCGTAGACTGGCCGTCGGAGGCTCCACTGGGTACCAGGAGGGAACGACCCAGTGAAGCCAGGTGGACGGCGCAGCCAGATCTCCTCGTGCAGGCTGCCTTGCAGGAAAGCAGTGCTGAAGTCAAGCGAGTGGAGCTCGTAGTCACGCTGAGCGGCGACGTGCAGCAGAACCCGAAGAGTGGTCATCTTCGGGGTCGGGGAGAAGGTCTGGAAGAAGTCAACTCCCTCTCGCTGACTGAAGCCTCGTGCAACGTAACGCGCCTTGAAGACAGGCGGAGAGCCCGGCGGCCGCTTCACCCTGAAAATCCACATGCCACTGACGATGTTCGCCCCAGGTGGGGGAACCTCGTCGACGTAGGTGCCTGTGGACTTCCAGGAAGCCATCTCTGTGTCCATGGCTGACTGCCACTGAGAGGAGTAGGGACCGGCCATCGCCTCTGCGTAAGAGCGTGGGG